TGACAGCCCCACAGCCAGGCTCAGTTGGTCACATTCTCACCCCCGAGTCAGAAGGTTGTGAGGTTCAAGCCCCACGCCAAGACTTTGAGCTCACACAGTCTAGGATGGGGGGGGTGGGGGTTGCACTGTACTGTTGGAGGTGCCGTCCTTCGCATCAGATATTAAACCGGGGTCCAATCTGCCTGTTCAGGTGGACATTAAAGATCCCATAGCACGATTCTAAAAGGATTTCCTCCCTACGCCCTGGACACAATGCCCCAGATAAAACCAGTCATTTGCTTCAACGTTATTTGTGAGGCATTGCTGTGCGCAAATTGGCCTCTTTGTTCGCCTACAAATACGCAGTCTCTAAACTTCACAGGAAACCGTGAAGCTCTTTGAGACGTTTTGAGGTGATAAAAACGGTGTCAGACACAAGGATTATTTTATTCTTTCTCCTGGAGAAAAATTGACTGTGGAGTGCGGTTCCTGGTCTCTCCTATCTCATCGGAAGAGCTATTCTCCCAACTGTCAGCCTTGACAGTGATTGCCGTTGTTACGTTTAATTATAGCTGGGAGGGTGGGGGGAGAGGCAGTCGTCTCCTGATCTCACCTGAGACTTGAAATTTCCCCCATAATCAGAGCCATCGTAGAACGATTGCCTCGAAATGTAAGTTTGTGCAGAATTTTCAAAAATTGTTCAATTTCAGTGGTAATTTGGAAGCTGTGCGCAGGGCTCTGTAACAACTGAATGACCATTCATTTTGAGGTGATGCTCTCAGAGCTGAGATCATGTGGCATTTCAGGTCTCTGCCAGGCATGTGTATTCTGGCAGATGACATTACTTGCTAACACAGGACACTTCAGTCAACCGTCTCGAAAGGACCAAAGCTATTTCCATTCACTCCCAAGTGCCCAGAAGTAATTAGATGTGGGATCAACTTGTTATTTCCCATCCCCTCTGCTCAGTACCTCTCTTTCTTCCTCTCTCTCTCTCTCTCTCTCTCCCCACCCCTCTCCCCCCCCCCACACACACACACTCACACACACACAAAACACACTCCCACACACACACACTCCCACACACACACCCACACACAAACACACACACCAAAAACATCCAGACACACACAAACACACCCACACCCACACTCCCACACACACACACACACACACAATTCCTGTTGGAAGCTGTCCCTCATGTTCTGAGTGTGATCACAGGAGAGATTCAGGTCAAGAAGACTCTTTGGTCCATTTGATCTCATGCTTCCAAATGACTTGGGATCTGAACTCAACTGACTTGGCAATGCAGCCCGGCATCCTGTTTGCCTTGTTTATTGCTGCTTCACACTGTTTTGACACGATGAGCAATGAGTCGACCAAGACCCCCAGGTCTCTTCCAGCTTCCCAGTTGGCAAGTTCTGTCTTATCTGTGGAGTATTTGCGCCTCTGATTTATACCTTGTGTGTACAGTACAGGTTGTTCGTCTGTAAATAAAAAAAGATTTAATCACTCTCTAAATACAGTAAATGCACTTTACAGTATTTATTGTTGAGGGGGGGGTCAGCCAGGAGTCCAACACATCACAATAATAATCCTTACATTTGATATAGCGCCGTATCACGTCGGTGAGATGCCTCAAAGCGCTTCACAGAATATACTGTAAAGTGAATGGACGGTGTATTTTGTGGGCGAAACTTGCGCAAATAACGGCAACAACTTGCATTTATATAGCGCCCTTCAGCCGGGCTGAGGTCCCGAAACCCACCACCGTGCTTAAGAGTATCCAAACCAAGCTGAGGCTTCCATGCAATAGCCACCTACATGTGGAAATTCCGGAGATAGATTGTTGGAATCAAATACACACTCTCTCTCTCTCTCTCTCCTGGAGGGACGCCTCCTTTCTTACCTAATTCCAGAAGGTATTAGGCGCAGGTTGGCAAAAGCCAAGGCTTGGGGGGAACCCAGAGTGTGCGTTGGGACAACTGCTGGAGTCTAACCAGGTAAAACGAGTCCTGTAGCTCAGTGGTTAGAGCACTCGCCTCTCAAGCGAGAGACCTGGGTTCGATTCCCCGCAGGGCGAAACCTTGGGCAAGTTTCCTTACTCCACACGCCTAATAATAATCCCTCAAGAAAAAAAACAATAATAAATTGCTCACTTCAACAACAACAACAACAAGATTCCATTTATTGAGCGCCTTTCACGTCGGGAGGACGTCCCAAGACTTCAATCCACGACTGTTTGTGAGACACTGCACTGCACATGTGAATCTGGATAGTCAGTGATTTTCAGCAGGTAGTTTGACAATGTGGGAGGGTGGAGGGTTGGGGGGTGGAGAGAGAGTCAACGTAGCAGAATCCAAACCTCAGCTGAGAAAATTGGCTGCTGCGTTTCGCCCATGAAATATCTAGTCACTACACTTCACTTATATTCTGTGAAGCGCTTTGAGACGTCTCAAAGATGTGATAAGACGCTATATCAAATTCAAGGATTATTATTATTATTATTTTATTATTATTACATACTTGCGCTTTCCCACACTTCAGGAATATCCCAGGGTTGCCATGATTTGGCTCAAGCCACCCTGTGCCTTATGCTCTCTGGAATTAGGTAAGCCGGGTACTTTTCGCCCACAAAATATACAGTCAATTCACTTTACAGAATATTCTGTGAAGGGCTTTGAGACGTCTCGAAGACCTGATAAGGTTCGGTATCAAATACAAGGATTATTATTATTATTTACAGTATATTCTGTGAAGCACTTTGAGACCTCTCAACAGCGTGAAAAGGCGCTGTATCAAATGCAAGGATTAATATTATTATTGCGTGCATTCGATTCTAGACGCAGTTATAAACTTTCACGGTACAAAATGTTACTGTGGCCTGACCCCGAGCAGCTGTCAGTCCAGCTTGTTTTCCTTTAGGAACATAGAGTTTGGAGTAAGCTTGAAATTTTCAGAGTTGAAATGTTGTCGATACATCTGACAGTTTCACTGCATCTCCAAAGCCTTTGTTGTCTGAGAACAGACGAGACGATTGAAGGACAAGAGTGAATGTCAAATCCATTAATCTTCTAACTTGGCCTCAATTTGGCAAGGCAGCATATACCAAGCCTATTATTGCTATTCAATCACACCGTAAAGAGTTTTACATCTCAACACCATTCTTTTCGGCTTTTAGTTTTGAAAGCCAGAGGGGGGCGGTGGGGTGGGGAGGAAAGCTTTTTCGTGCTGTGTACCCAGCCCAAGCTCCTTCAAACTCCCATCTTTTCGTTTCCTGGTCCACGTTTCCGTCCAATGTCCCATCCCCTGCTTAGGTTCGGTTCATTTCCAGCTGTGCCATCGCCAGATGTGGACAACCCTCTATTAATCAAGAAATATTCAAGCAAGAAAGTATTGGAAAAACAATACTGGTGGAACGTAGACTTACCTAGAGTAGTGCGCGTGTTTGGGGGTGGGGGGTGGCCACCACTGGCCTCAACCCTCACCGAAGCTTCACATTGTAATAATAAATAAAAATAATAAATAAAAATAACAACAAATAATAATAATAATACTTACATTTGACAGCGCATTTCACATTGGGAAGACATCTCAAAGCGCTTCACAGGATTCACCATAAAATACAGTGAACGTAATAGCAAATGTTTATTTGTAGGCAAACGTGGCAGCTCATTTTTTGTCACTGCAACAACAACAGCTTGCGTTTACATAGCATCCTTCATGCAGCATCGCCCCACAAACAGCCACAAAGTGAATGACCAATTTTATTTGGATTAGCGGCCAGGACACTGTGAGAAGCTCAAATTGTGCCATGGGATCTTTAACGTCCACCTGAACGGGCAGAGGGACCTCAATTTAAATTCTCACCCAAAGAATGGCACCTCCATCAGTGCCCTGGAGTGTCAGCCTCGACTGTATGGAATCAAAGTCCCGAGGCTTTAGGATGGAATCTATCCTCATTACTTTCTGCTGGAGTTGAGTCCATGTATCAAATGTCCACCAGGAGAAATATTTTCACCTCAGTTCCTTGTTAGTCCCCCTGCCTCTCTCTATTTGGCTATTATGCCGCCTTGCTCTGTGTTAGGAGGATTCGCTAATCTCCAGTTTATCCATTCCACTCACAGTTTTAAATACTTGTATCCTATCTCGTTTTAAATTGCTTTGCTCGAGGGAAATTAACCTGAGCTCTTTCATTCCTTCCTCGCGGCAGCTGTGGTAATTTCTTCCCAGTTTTTCTTCACGTCCCTCCTTCCCAGAGCACTTCCAGAAATTCCGGAAATTGGAACCCGGATGAAACATTCTTCCTAACAACAACAAGAACAACAACATTACATTTGTAGAGCGCCTTTCACGTCGGGAGGACGTCCCAAGGCACTGGTCAGTCTAACTCCCTCACTGTGTCATGGGCTGCCGACACATTAGCAGCTCTCCTTTAATGAGATGTCTTTTTTTGTCTCTCTCTCCGTCTCCTTCAATAAATTAACAACAAAAAAAAAGGGCAGCCTCATCCTAGTCAGTGACCTATATAATATTGTAGACGATTCTTAATTGAAATAGCTCGGTGCAAATAAATGAATGACGATTAACTGTCAGTTTCAATTGACCAGATGAGTCCTGCTGTGCGTCGATTCAATTTACTTCATTTTCTTTACGCCTTGTTTGGCCGTAAATGTCTCTTTTTCGAGACCTGCTTCTCAGCACCGACCAAAGGCTCGCGTTGAGGGTGGTTCGCTGGCCATTTGTGCCGACGCAATCCAACCTACCCTCACTTCAACCTCAGGCACAGGTCACCACCTCCTGCCTCTCGGTTCGGTGACCCTGAAGTACGTTGTGATGCAGTTAAGATCAGCTCAGTTAGATCTCAGTCCTTGCCGTGCGGTTAAGTTCAGTTCAGTCAGGTATCGAGCATGGATTGATCCCAGTACCTGCCTGGTCTGTGTGGTTCAGTGCCACAGGGCAGTACAGTTACACTTTTGTTGCATGCAGCGCAGTGACTCTCTCCCGCTCTGTTTCCGCAGCACATCGAATCGCGGCTCCAGGCCCTGGATGTGTCGTACATCCGAGTCCTTCTCTCCGAGATCTTCCCAGACAAACTGCGCCTGTTCCAGGAGGTGGACGCGTAAGTGAAGCGAGAGATATCTTGCGTGACCACGGGTCGCATTTAAAACATTGTCCGTGTTTTACTGAACACCAAGACATTGTCCACTGAGGGACTTCTTTCAATGTGCAGGCGTTAAGGGGAGTGAGAGGCTGTCTCACAGCTCCGAGTGATACGGGTTCACAGCACAAAATGATCCCTTAGATTAGGACTAAATTGGACAACAGCCTATGGTTGAGAACACAGTTGTAGCTTCAGATTTACAGTGCAAAAAAAAAAGGCATATTAATAACCCGCCTTTATTTACACAGAGATTGTGGGAAATCCAGATTCGAGTAAAACCTGAGCTCAAGAAGCAGCTCAGATAATGCATCTGCATTTCCCAGGATTTAACTCTCCTCGGGTCATTTCCAGTGTCTTCTCTTAACCAGACGGAAAGTGGGGGAGTCTGTGGCCGGGAGCTTTGGGAGTCCTTAGACTCCACAGAAGTGCAAATATGGAATATTGATTTTACGAAAACACAATCAAAGCAGGAAGGAATCACACCGCTGAATAAATAAATAATAATCCTTAACTGTAAAAAAAAAACCTCATATCCAGTGAAACGAAATACACAGGCAGAGGAGGGAAGGAACAGGCAGTAAAGTGTTACGAGGGGGAAATAAATAACCCGTTACTCCTTTTGAATAAAGGCAGTGCACTTAATAATCAGAACATCATTTTACTGGGCACAGCCTGGAACTTGAACGTAGCGTGAATTGAATTAGAACCTGCGCGTAAAGTGCTGTACACGTAAAGAGTGGCCGTTTACTTTACAGCATATTGTGTGAAGCGCTTTGAGACGCGATAAGGCACTGTATCAAATGCAAGGCTTGTTATCGTACGATATTATCTTATCTTCCTTTTTGAAGAAACTTAACACGAGGCAGTAAAACCAGTGAGCGGGGCTGGCAATCTCTCCCGCATTTCCGAGGCCCAGCCAGGACCGCAGTACCTGCCGCCAAAACAAAGCGCTCTGGGACGCTGCCCTGCGTGAGGGGCGTTACATAAATGCAAGTTGTTGTTGTTTTTGCACTTTAAGAAACGAGGCGCTCAGACGGCCTTCATCGAAGGTCGGGCCTTCAGCCTCTCTCCACCCCCCCACCCTCTGGAATTCCTCCAGCCCGTGTTATCCCTCCCCGCACCCCCCTCGCCTCCATCACGGCCCGTCTCAAGACCTTCCTCTTTGGCCGCGCCTCCGGTCACCTTCTCACCACTCCCTCCCCCCCCCCCCCCCACCCCCCGCACCTCCTTGACTCCAGCCCAGGCGCAAACACTTCACCGTGCAGTGCCTCAGGATTTGTTGTCGTTGGTGTTGTAGGTGTAATCCCTATGTGCAAGTTGTGAAAACCGATACAGACAGAGGGACACTCTGCACTTGGACGAACAGATGAGCCCGTTCCTTTTGAACCATTTTAAGACACTCGGGCGGAGCACAGGCATTAACAATCCATGCTGAATGTCGGGGGGGGTTGACCGTGAACTCTTGTTGGGTTCAGTGGGCTGAGAGTCGGTGAAAGGGCCACGAAAGCCTCCCACGTGGCAGCGTCACATGGCCCATCTCTTAACGAGTTGCCCTGAACACATCGCTCCACTCAGTCCAGCCGGGGAGATACATTTTTAGAAACAATTCATCATGTTCACCGGGCGGCACTGGATGCTGGACGTGGTTAACACAGTGTGCAGCAAGGTGCACGGCGCGAAATAAGCCAATTCAGGGTTCGGGTCCACCAGGCATAAACACACCACTGTTTGGAGAGATTACAGCCAGGTCCTGCTAAGGGTCTGCTGTTTGCTTAGCTCTGTCACGTCCACGGTTAATCTGTGGAGCCAATAGGTTTCTGCTACCGCACGCTGTATTTTTTCTGCTGTTATTTTTCATATCAAATCACGTACGTTGCTGTTAGATAATAAGTCAATAATAATAATAATAATCCTTGTGTATTGTGGGCGAAACGCAGCAGCCAATTTCACACAATTTCAGCGTCCCTCAAACAGCCATGGATTGAGTGACCAAATTATTACTTATTTATGTATTTAGTTTTGAAGGGATTATTACCCCCAGAAAGCGATCCACCGAACGACCAATCATTGGGTTATTAGTTATTACTAGGTAAACAGAGCCATGTAGAGTAAGAAAACTTGCCTAAGGTTTCGTCCTGCCCGGGAATCGAACCAAGGTCCTCTCTCTGAGAGGCAAGTGCTCTAACCAACATGCTACAGGACCTTTCCAGTTGTGTGTGTGTGGTCACAGGTCACAGATAACCTGAACAGTTAGCTGTTTTTCTTATTCACCTGAGCAACCTGCCCCCACAGTAAAATAACCACATCAATGGAAGCCCAGCAAGCTGTGCATTTGGCTTCATAATCAACCATTCACGGAAATGAATACTATCTAAACTCCCCTCAAAGGAATTCGCTGCCATAATTAGTTACACTCCATTCACATCACAGCTTCAGCATAACCTGGGTTTTAACGTAAAGCTGTTTCCACTTGTTGGTGAGACAAATACAGGGGAGGCACAAATACAAGAAAGACAGCAGCAGATTTAATAGGGCGTTTAGGAGAATTGCTTCACCCAGTGGGTGGTGAGAACGTGGAACTCACTGCCAGAAGTCATGGTTGTCGCAAAAAGCATCAATGCATTTAAGAAGAAACTTGTTGCTCCCATGGAGGCGGGACTAACAACAACAATATCTTGCATTGATTCAGCACCCTTTACGTGGGGTAGCGTCCTGGAGCGCTTCAATAGAGGGCTGTAGGAGAGGGGATGGAAGCTCATGTAGAACATAAGCACGGACCAGTTGGGCCAAATGGCCGGTTTCTGTGCTGTAACATTCTGTGTAATTCTCTGAAACCGTGTTGGAAAAGTAGACGCGGGAACAGATTCAGTGTCTCCGGTAACGCCAAGACATGCGGCCATTTTGCTGCGGGGCTGCTCTGGGAACAAAGAAACCACCACCCCAGCCAACACTGGCCTGTGTTAAACATAACGTTAGAGGATTAACCAATGCCACAGAGGGCTCCTGGAGGCACCAGCATCAGTGAACCGCATGCAGTTGCCGAGACTCTGATGTGTTTTATCCAGCTCCAATTTCACAAACAAAGCTATTTTTTTTTTTTTGAATTACAGCTCAGGTTTTCTTAAAACTCTGCTGATAGGGAAGGTGATGCTCATCGCTGTAATGCGCTGTAATATCATACCTTGTTGTTTTGAGTGACGTGAATTTGGGTCATTAATAATAATAATAATCCTTGCATTCGAAATAGCCCCTTATCACGTCTTCAAGACTTCTCAAAGCGCTCCACAGGATATACTTTATATATATAGCTATATATATATATAGCTATATATATAAAGTGGATTGACTGGGTATTTTGTGGGCGAAACGCGGCAGCCAATTTATGCAGAGCAATGTCCCACAAACAACCATGGAATCCACGTTCAATTTTATTTCGGGGATTGTTGGCTGGGACACTGGGCGAAAGAAGCTCCCTTCTCTTTTCGAATTGTACCACAGGATGTTTAATGTCCACCTAAACAGGCAGACAGGACCTCGATTTAACGTCTCACTCAAAGGACGGCACCTCCAACAATGCAACGCACCTCCCAGCACTGAATTGGAGCGTCAGCTTAGTCTATGTTATTCCAAGATCTGATGTGAGGCCTGAAGCCCACAACCCTCTGATTCAGAAGCGAGAGTGCGAGAGCGCGATCACTTTGCCAGACTGACACCCTCAATGTCTGTGCTGTAATATTCTACGATTTTACTGGGTTCGATTCCCAGGCAGGGCGAAACGTTAGGCAAGTTTCCTTACACCACACGCCTTTGTTTACCTAGCAGTAAGTAGGAACCCAGTTGTTATCGATTGCGGAGGGTAATAATCCTTTCAAAAAATATATACAATTGAATAATAATTTGGTCACTTAATCTACGACTGTTTGTGGGACACCGCTGTGTGCAATTGGCTGCCACGATTCACCAACAAAGGATACAGTCAATTCACTTTACAGTATATTGTGTGAAGCGTTTTGAGACATCCAGAAGACGCGGTAAGTCGCTATATCGAATGCAAGGATTATCATTAATTAAAGCATTCATCGCCACTTCGAAATATCACAGCTCTGAAACTTAGCGAGGACATTGGACTTAGGAGAGTTGCACTGAAGTGAAGAGCGAGACTGTGGAACCAGAAACAGCTCCAGCCAGGGCTGAACTCACCCCAGGTAGACAGTATAAACAGCCTTTCCAGTCATAAATCACGGCCAATTACTGCTTTCAGAGAGGGAGTTTTATACTTTTTTATCAAACTAAAGCTGCTGAGTGTAGAAGATCAGCCGTAGTCCATGTATTTGGTAACTGGCCTTTGGGGAGGATTTCTGCCTGCTGTACTGTGCCATAGCAACTCGCGAGACGAGTCAGGAATGTCAACATATAGTGTTAGAAATGTTACAGATTATTCTTCCAATTCACGGAGATTAAGCAGGGCTGACAGTTTCCTGCAGACATCATTCCAAACTGTCCTGGTTCAGGGACGTTATCCAGTGAGTAACTGAGTCACACGTTGCGAGAAGCTCCCAGGTTGGAATCCTGGTGTGTACAGGGACAGCTACTCTCAGTCAACCAGCTATGAGTACCATTGGCCTTAGTGCCCCTTGGGTCTGGTGGGAAAATATAGTTCTCCTCATGCTCTATTACCCTGTGGGATGCTCACTGTGAATACTGACTGCTTGGGCTAGACAGTAGAGGGCAGCCCATACTTCACAGTGACGGAACCAGGTAAATTTCTTCCGATTACCTAACTTGGGGAACTGATTCTAGTTATATTTCCTTCCCCCACTCCCCTCCCCTCTCTCTCAATCTAACTGAGGTCAGCCAACTCAGCACAAGGTAAAGATCCAACCTGGGCAATCCTGGTCTGGGATGTTTGACCACACAAGTGGATCCATTTACCTACAGAGCAGTTGTGGGACTTCCTA